CACTTAACCCCTTCGGTTTTCTCGACTTCCATCCCTGCTTGGAAAGCTCGCGCCATAGCTGCTTGAATGTTTTTTCGTACGGGCCGTTCATTATGGGGAGAACGGATTGTGCGGGACGAGAGTAATGTGTGGTGGTCTGTGAATCAAAACGGCTCATTACAGAATTTTCAAACCTCCATGAATTTCATATTGTCTTTTCTATGATGCCAGTGAAATCCCCGTCTATCTTCGCTGCGAAGATCTTCAATGATAAAGTCGCATACAAAAAGATAGTATGCGGTGAATTAGGCTGATGGTAAGCTCGTTTGATATAAGATCCTGTCCTACAGCTTATTCTGTATGATACAGAATGTCGTCTTAGAAGGGTTAATACATGTACTGACCTCCGCTCTAAAAAAGATAACCATTTCAAATTATATTACAGCCTACCCAACAAAATACCCCCTCGATGCCGATCACTTTTTGAATTTCGAATCTCCCGCGCTTTCCCGACCAGACTGGCTCCCGCTCCCAGCTTTCATTTTAAAAGCTAGCACCTGGGGGAGATCACAGACAGTGAGCGCCAGGCCGTCTGGGAGTCCTTACTGCTTCGCAGCGTGGGAGGAGTGCTCAAACATGGAGAGATCGTTCGGGTTGCAGCGTACTTCCGTGTGGGCCGCCAAGTTGTCGAACAAATTTGGAGGCGTGGAATCAATTCGATGGGAGGTCGAGTAGCAGCCGTGGTCAAGTCAAGGAAGAGCGCATGTGGTAGGAAGAAGGTCATTCGAGCTGAGCTGTGCGAGAGAATCGCTGCAGTTCCTGTCAATGAGCGCGAAACCCAGCGTCTGCTTCAGCGCGCGTCCAACATGAGCTGCTACCTGGTTCAGCAGCTGATCAAGGAAGGCTACATACGGCGTGCGCTCAGACAGACCCGTCCACTACTTACACCCACGCACAAGTTGGTGCGCCTCCGGTTTTGTCTGGACCACGTTCGACCTAACGGAAGGGGGGATTACGTGTTTGATCCAATGTTTGACGTCGTGCATATTGACGAGAAGTGGTTCTACATTAAGAAGATTGGGCAGAGTATTTACTTACTGAATGGGAAAGATGAAGTACCGCTCGAGGATCCTCCTGTTCAGTTCGTGCAGAGCAAACGCTATATCATGAAGGTGATGTTTTTGTGTGCTGTTGCGCGACCCCGAGGAAACGGGGATGGCAGTCTCTGGCCTGTTGTAGAGCGCTACATCACTCAAAGGGCAAGTGTGAATCGCCCTGCTGGCGTGGAAGATCTGCGACCTGTCTCAATAACAAGGGATATTTCACGTCAGATGCTGGTGAACGACGTAATTCCTGCTATCAAAGCAAAGTGGCCGCAAGAGCAGAAGGGTGTTGCCATTCGCATCCAACAAGACAACGCTCGGCCCCACGTCCAAGAGGATGATGACTACGTTAACGCGGCAGGGTCCTCGGATGGCTGGAACATCGCGCTGCGGAACCAGCCTGCACAAAGTCCTGATTTCAACTGCCTAGACTTGGGCTTTTTTGCCAGCATTCAATCGCTGCAGTCGCAGACAATACCACGAACACCCCAAGGCCTCATCAGGGAAGTGGAGAAAGCTTTTGGAAAAACTACAGCGGACACGCTTACCAAAACGTTCTTGACTCTGCAACACGTCATGGAGCAGGTTATGAACTGCAAAGGTGATAATCATTACCGTCTCGGACACTTGCACAAGGACAAGCAAGTACGAGCTGGCACTCTCCCTACGTCACTGCCTTGTGACGCTATCTCACTCGCCAATGCTAACGCGTACATGCTGCTTCTTGCAGCGAGCAGCCCCCCCCCCCACCGCCTACCGCTGAAGTTCCAGAAGCCCCAATGAGCGCCCCTTCAGAATGTGGCGATGTAGTTGCCGTCTTAGATCCGTTTTTGTATCTGTAGTTGCTCGGCGGAGCATGAACGCCTGTGCCTTGCTTAGTTTCTCACTGTCAGCTCTCGGTCATAAAGCTAGCTAGCCAGCCTCTCAGAAATTAATAAACGCTCAAATGAACGAGGCGGAGCGCTGCGCAAAAAAAAAACAAATGGTTATCTTTTTCCGAGCGGAGGTAGTAATAAGCTGCCCGTTTCAATGCTTGCGCAAAAAAATGCCATATGTTGTGCCAGCAATATTCTTGTGGTATACCGGTACCGGTAATAAAAATCTCTTTTGCCAACCCGTCGACACGTGCACAGGCAGTCTCTAATCTGCGGCAACGTTGCGATCGCTTTTTCATACGTCGAAGTATCTTTCTATCATTATCGGAAATGTCCAAGAGTCTTAACGTGGGGCTTTTCGGCTGTGGCACCGTGGGTGCAGGTGTGTTTGACCTGCTGCACAGCCCCGTGCGTCGTCAGAAGTTCATGGCCATGGGCGTGAACGCGCTGGTGTCCAAGATCTGCGTGCAGAACCTGAGCAAGGATCGCGGACTTAAGCACTTCTCGGCGTCGGAGACCACGTTCACCAGCAAATACAGCGACATCCTTGAGGACAAGAACATCAACTGCATTGTGGAGCTCATGGGCGGCGTGGATGACGCCAAGGACGTGGTCTTCGGCGCCATTAAGGCCGGCAAGCACGTCATCACGGCCAACAAGGCGCTCGTGGCCAACTTCATGCCCGAGATCGTGCAGCTGCTGCAGGACCACCCGGAAGTTCGCTTCGGGTATGAGGCCGCAGTGGCTGGTGGCATCCCCATCATCCACACGCTGCAGAACGCCTACAACTCCGACACCATCACGGAGATCGCCGGCATTATGAACGGCACCACCAACTACATGTTGTCCAAGATGGAGGCCGAGGGCGTCGCTTACGACGCTGTGCTGAAGGAGGCACAAGATCTGGGCTATGCTGAGGCCAACCCCAGCGCCGACGTGGACGGATTCGATGTTCAGTCGAAGATTGCCATCTTGGCGAAGCTCGGCTTCGGTGGAATTGTCAAGCCTTCGGACATCCCGACGGTGGGCATCTCTCGTGTCTCTGCGGCCGACTTTGAATACGCCAAGATGATGGACAGCACGATTAAGTTGCTCGGTGTGGCCAAGCAACTCACGCCAGCGGATGAGGGGACCGGCAAGCCTCAGGAGGTGACGGTGTATGTGTCGCCTGTTGTGGTCAAGCGTAGCAACGTCATCGCCAGCATCGGCGGCGCTACGAACCTCGTGAACGTGCGTTCGGACAACTTGGTCAGCAGCGCGTACGTCGGTCCGGGCGCTGGACGCTTCCCCACGGCCAACTCAGTGATGAACGACATCATCCAGTTGGCTCACGGCGACGCCCCACTGGACCCGTTCAAGGCCTCGGTGCCTCTCACACTGCAGCCAGACTATGAGGCTCACTTCTACGTGCGTCTCACTATCACCGACGGTCTGGGCGTCATCCGCCACGTCGGTCAACTCGCTGAGGAGAGCGGCGTTTCCATCTACTCGATCCTGCAGGCGCCGATCGTCGACCGTGCGAACGTGCAGTTCGTTGTCACCACGGAGACGTCGCTACTGTCCAAGGTGCGCTCGATGTGCCAGAAACTCGCTGCTTTGCCCTTTGTGCAGGAGGAGCCTCTGTACCTGCCGATCATGAAGTAAAAACGCTGGCGAGAGTGTGGCCGTAACCAGTGGACACTTAATTGCCGATTCATCAATACATGTGTGCCAATGGGTGGGCTTATTCAACGCGTTAGCTCTTCACAGAATAAAATGATGTTGCACACTTATACAGTAGACAGCCTGCTGCTTCAACTGGCGTCGTAGCGCACATTGTCCGGTCCGGCAAAGGAGAACGCTGGCCTTCCCCTCCAGATCATCGTGTCGGAGTGCTCGCGGTCGGTGTTTCGGTAACGGGCACAGATGGAAGACAAGGAGTTGATGTAGTGGTTCCGTTCGGCCGGGTTCCCGACGTCCTCGGGTTTACCGCCACCTTCAGCAGACCATTCGTCGTCGGGGATAACGGACTGGTAACTGGTCGAATAGCCTCGTCCGTACGAGTCGGTGCTAAAGCGTTCCATGCTGCAATTGACGCTCGTTGTAGTAGTCTCCATCATGGAAACACCACTCCGCTCGACCCACTTGGCGAGTTCTTCGTCTTGGTCGAATCCGCCGCAATTTCCGTGCAATGCAGCTCGAATGACCGTATTCCACTGCTCGTAGACTGCAGCGTTGGGTGCTCGGAACCACACGCGCTTCGACCGCCAGCCGTACTCGATGCCGATCATAAGCTTGCGTGACTCTTTTGCCTTTGTCGCCAACATGCGCACAGGGTGCATCCGTCGATCGAGAGAGATCGCAAGTGCAGAGCTGCCAAGGCATCCCTGACGACGACGCCTGACACACACCACCGCTGAGTATTGCTTGAATTGTTCCGACGATAACTCACTCGAGCAGATCAGTTGTACGTGCACCTGGCGCCTGAAAGGCCGCAAGTAAATACATGTAGTAGTATTAACCTTAAGTGTGGTATAACTTCAAGTATTTTGAAAATGACCATTTGTCTTCCATGCAAAACCTTACCAAAACACTTCACAAACTCGCATCTTCATTGCACTAGCCAACGTCACAAACGACGGAGCATCGAGACAAAAGTCGTCCATGTAGAGACTCGCTTCGTTGTTCGGTATGGTGGTCACAGTGGCGCGAGCTCGTGGATTGATCGGCTGGAGCGGGCCGCCACCGCTGATCTTTCCATCCCGAACTTTGGATCCCCGAGGTTGCCTGTCTCGGTGGGTCGACTGTGACGATGGGGAGAGCATTCTTGGCACCTTGATCTCTAATTTGACAATGAGAGAAGGAAATGGAAATCCAATCACAAGCAAGGTTCGATCACTCCACGGCGCTACTAAAAGTAAATGCAACATCACGCATGCGTCGGGTCAAGGCGCCACCACACATCGCACGCAGCCTTGAAACGTCCTCACTCCGAGTCAAATTAGCGTTTTGGAGCAATTCTTGTCCTCACTGTTCTCGGTGTCCTCTTCCATTGCATAAAAATTTAGAGGAGATCGACGTGGCGAATCGTCAGTGAAATGCGCGTGCCCACTTCGATGTTGTCGACGCTGTGTAAGTAGCGCGTGTAGGCTTCTCCCGTGAACAGCAAGAGACTACGACGTTCCAACTGGAAATCAAAGTTCTGCACAATCTCATTGGTAGGCGCCGCCTCTGAAACGCTCTGATTGTCGACTGATGCCAAAGCACGATGCGGCTCAAACGTCACTCGGCACTCAGCGCCAGTGCTGATAATGGACACCAGAGGGAAATACGCAGGCCCGTCCTCATGTGGTAGAATGCAGTCCCCCACACCATATTCTGTGCATCAGCAAGTATGCAACTGGTTGGTCTTAACGACATGTTTGGGACTGTGGGGGCAGCTTACGTACCGTTGATGAGTGCGTGGTTGGGCTTCTTTTCTTCACTGAAGATGCCAGTATCCAGTAGTGTCTGGCTGATCTGTTGTAGCCATTCAGGGAGGGGATTAGGCTCGAATGGGACCTTGACTTCCCCTCCCCACATTTGCAGACGACGGTGTTTTAGCTTGACCCAGAGATCGTTGTCATGCGGAACAGCGTACACTCGCTCTACAATGGCCGCCTCCTCGTCCTGCGTGATCCAGTTGGGTATGTAATACACTCCGGAAATCGGTCCTTTGCGGAACTCCTCGATATTAATTTTTGATCTGGACAAGGAGCAAGAGATTTACTGTTAACAATGAAACATGCACAGTTTTGAGGTAGGTGTAACTCCACCAAATAAGTTGGAGCCGCCACCAAAATAAATGGAGAATGCACACGAATGGTGGACAGCTATCACTCACAAAATAAAAGTGGAGTGTCCACACATTTAGGAAGCAGTAACACTTAGCACAAAGCTAATAAACACTCCATGTCAGTGCTTTTGTTCGAATCGTTAGCATAGGTGAAGTGATTCGAGCACTAAGTTGTAGCGATCATGTTGTAGTTGCAGCAACAACAAGTCGCTGTCAACGACGCCTCACTTTCCCTTGTAGCGTGCCATGGCACTACATTTCGGCTGGAATCCGAGCAGAGACCACACTCTACGAGGTTGTGGCTGGGACGGTGGAGTCCACGTGCCCCTTTGCCATTAAGTTAGCTTTCCAGTGTCACTCTCCAACTTGAGCCCAAGAGCTCCAGCACCACACTCCGTCCAGAGCAGCGGCACCCAAGACCGACCACCAACGCAGCTCCAAGAAAAGCACAAGTACGTTCATTGATGTTATAAAATGAACGTTTCTAGCATGTTGATTCTGCGTTCATCTACCATGTTTGCTGGTGCAGTGCAATGAGCTCGACATGAAGAAGTGCGTGATTGGGTCGCGCTCGTAGTCAAAGTACTGGCACTTTGGGAGTCGTCGCCATCATCTCCGTCTGGATCGTACTTGCCAACTACTTCGTTGTCGAGGGTGCCAAGGCCATAAACGTGCACAGTATGCACGCATCGGCCATCCACGCCCACGGCCTGGATCCTGCAGCTCATTGGTCACGGCGTCTTCGATCGTCGCAAACCGGCACTCTTCGACAGCCTGGACCAGGCTCTGATCACCGCTCCGATGTTCGTGTAGTTCGAGATTTTGTTCCCACTCGGTTACCGTCCGGAACTCTACACGCGCGTGATGAAGCAGGTCTGGATCAAAGCAAGACCTTCCAGGCTACAAAGACGCTGTAGTTGAGGCCACAAGACAGTGACTTTTGTGGCCTCATCAAAAAGAAAAATAAATTGTTTTCGATATATCTATGCGAATTTTGTTGTTAGGAGGCTACGACGATCTCTGCCATCTCTATGAGACTTTTGGCAATACCCTCCGCCCCACTGACGAGACAGTTGAGAAGTAAGAACTCCTCCATCGACACCTTCTCGTAGCAACGTTCTTCCAGCAGTCATTCCACGTACGCAGTCTTCATCTGCGCCGCGATGTCGCTACCGAAGAATTCCTCCACATTTAGAACGTCGTGCTCGCGACACATGGCAGGAGCCGATGACGCAGCCGCCGAGACTCTCTTGTTCTTCTCAACGGACGAAGCTTGGGACGAGTTGTGTTAGCTCTCACGTGACGGCATCGCGGCTCGCGAATTGTTGACATTCGCTTCCTGCACACCCAAAGGTGGAAGTTTGGACTGAATCTTGTCGCCAGAGTCCACGTCAACGACCTTCGACTCGTCGTTCTCGCTCGCATCTCCCGCATCGTCCTCGTTCGCATTGATAGCTGCCAGCCCATGCTCCGGTCTGGCTACCAGAGCCGAGGCCTTGGGTCTACATGGCGTGTACACCTCCACCTCGATCTTGAGGCCGTTCTCCAGCGCCTCGACGAACTCTTCGAACGACACCAAGCCGCTGTTATCTTTGTTCACCACACGCATGAATTCCTCGACGTATTTGTGGATCTCGCCTTGCTTGGCCGCGCCAGACTGGGCGAAGATGGTCTCCAGCATGTCTGCCACTTCGTCCGCGTCGATCTCGCCGCTACAGTCCTTGTCTGCCAAGCGGAAGGCCTATTTCATCTGCATGAAGATTGCGGTCTGGTCCGGCTCCGAGTACAGCTAATGCATCGCGAAAGAGCATCTCTCCAACGTCTTGAACGAATCGGTCACTACAGTCTGGAATTGGCTCTACCACTTTGCACTTGTGCTCGTTGCTGTCAAGTGAAGCTTCAGTGTCTCAAATGTCGACACTGTTAAGCTGAACTCGGTCGTGTTCGACGCGGAAATTGAACCACCGCACCACCTTAAATAGTAGCGTGTTGTTGTTCAGTAGTCGACGTAAACACTCGAGACCTTTTTCACATTTCAGAGTCGAAAACGCAGGTCTCCACATGAGCGGTTCGGCTTGAGCCTCCGCCACTGAGGACGCTTGTTGCGCATGTTTAACGGGATCTTGGCCTGCTTCATCTAAAAGATCGTCGTTCTCACTCTCCATTTTGTTTGTCTCCACGTAATTTTACATGAGCGACAGTGCGACGAGCGTGTATATCTATCTATTTCTGTATCTTCAACACTTCAATACTTTGGCACTGATTGTGCTATTGTGGTGGTCGTATATTTTAAGGTGGTGGTGGTGACCCGTTTTCTGTGTGTGTGGTCCCGTCCACATTTTGGGTGGATCTACACTTTTTTATAATAGCAGTACATATAATTTAAAGTGGTAATAACCCGGACTCCACAGTTTTCTAGTGGCTCGCCGAGTACTTCTCACCTACACTCAGAGTTGCTTGTTGCCATTGCGATACACGCTCTTCAATTTCCTGTGACTTGCCGGTGTCTTTTGACGCAGATTTTGTGTCGGTGTTTGGCTTGGATTGGGCTGCCTCTCGTACACGGCGGCGTTCCTCGCGCATCAGTTCACGGAAGTCCATACTGAAATGTTTAATTTGGTGATTGGGTAAAAATTGTGCTCTTCTTTGGGAAAATGTAGCCATAACGTTTTTTTCTGACACACCACGATATATTTATCGTTCCGACTTGTGGAGTTCATGCACAACTGAGACGACTGTGCCATGTTCTCGCTCGACGTTGTGCGGTGGCGAAAGAATCAATCGGAGCAGGAAGCTGCGAGGTTGAAACAAGCTGAAAAGAATGGAGCATCACCGTCACAAGCTGTTCAGGCACGGCAGATCAAACGTATTTACGGGAAATCGATGTGAGTTGTTAAACAATGAAAGGTGGTTAATGCTTCTAGGACTGAACGTCCAGTGATTGTGTCAGAAAGGAGATGCACAAGTCGTATTTGGACCGCGTTGGCGACTGGATGAGGGAGGCCCCCGATCAGGATTGGGGCAAAGACTACGCTAAAGAGGATTATTCCAAGGCCTACCTGTGCGTCTACAGTAGTAGACAATGTCTACCTCGCGTTAACGGGACACTTGCAATCTGCTAACGGCAACTCATTTGTCGGATAGACCTCGTGTAAGAGCAAAGGAACTGGAGCACGTAGGAGCCGTCAAGAACGGGTACGTCAAATCGGCAACACAATATTTGTAGTTTATCATAAGATTTTTTATTTTAATATTGTTGACTAGCTCGTACTCACCTCGAGCTATCTACAAAGGGGGCGGGAAGCTTATACGCCGTGCTAAATCTCCACACCATGAAATTGAAATGCCACGTGAAAAGTATGCCGAACGGATCGTCAACTTCGAAAAGACTCGCGAGAAGCACAAAGAAATCCAACCACCAATGGCGTTCCTGAAGAACAAGCCATTGTCATGTGCCAAGTACTTTGTGGAAGATATAATCTGTGTTGACAACAACGCACGAAGCGAACACGAGAGCGAGCAATCTGATGCCTCGCGAGACTCGAAGCGAAGAACAACATGCGCGGCAGACTGCCCGCCATCTCCCGAGAGAGTCAACCAAGCGGACGAAGATGACAGCAGTGAAGATGAAGAAGGCTCAGCACGCAGAAGACAGAAAAGTGCCGTGTATGATCGTCTCTACTGGAACGCTCATGGTTCAAGAGCAACAGTGCTCGGTGGCACAGCAACTCCGGAGCCTCCAACGACAGCCGAGTACGTGGCTCACCCAAGATGGCGTCAACACAGTCCTGAGAAATGGGTCGGTGGCAGACCATTCACCAGCACCATCTTGTCAAGCAAGGCACATGCAGCGTCTCGCTCCAGTATCTCGGGGGCGCCTCACCCCAGGGCTGTGCTAGTTGACGATCCGTTTACTCCTGCCGGAACTACCAGCGCACCTACCACCCCTGAAGTTCGCGCCTTGGTAAGGGACCTCGGTAGTAGATATTTTCTTTACAGCGCTTCACCCAGTAACTTAGACTTGCTGTGGTTTTGTCTACTACGCAGGAGCACGCTCGTCGTGTCAAAATGGCATTGGAAACCACCTTCAAGCCTGTCCAACACCACAGCAAAAAATACTTCAACTCCATGTGGACAGAACGCAAAATCTACGTCTCCATCAACAACAACACCGACACTCGATCCCCCTCTGTATCATCACCGCATTTGCCTTCTCCCACACGTAAGACGAATGTCGGGCGTGAACTTCTCCAACAGATCCGTCAGCAGCACCAGCAACCTCCGTCCGTATCCAAATAGCAACTCGAACCAATCAAAAACTAACGTCTCCAAAAGACTGCGTCGCGGGAATGATAGTATTTTGGCTCTTGGCTCCTGCTTACAGCTACCAGCTTAATGAACTACAGTCTCAAGGGTTCAGCCCATAAGGAGGGAGATAGAGCTATCTAGTTGAAGGACAGCAGCTCCACCTCGAAGACGAGCGTGGCCTTGGGCGGGATCACAGGCGGGTAGCCGCGCTCGCCGTAGGCGTATTCGTGGGGGAGCGTGAGCTTGGCGACCTGACCCTTGCTCATCTTGGCGACGCCCTCATCCCAGCCGCGGATCACCTGGCCGGCGCCGAGCTGGAACTGGAAAGGACGGCCGCGGTCGCGGCTTGAGTCGAACTTGGAGCCGTCGGTTAGCGTGCCCACGTAGTGGACGGACACGGTCTGACCCGGCTTGGGGAAGTTGGTGCCGTCGCTATGGA